ACTCGTGATCATCATGGCTGGGCCACGTCTGACGGCATCGTGTCACTGACACGTGCACTACTGGCGGCAGGAGCCCAGTGTGTTTTGATCTGTCTGTGGCCTGTCCCTGACACGGCCACCAAGATACTGTTGCGAGCATTCTACTCTGCCCTCCTGCAGGTAGGGATCAGCTTACTTGTGATTCTCATTCATGTGGACATTGTGTTATTAGTATTTCTTTGCATTTATGTTGTAAAGAAGTTGAGCATATTTCAGATATATATCCTATATGTATTTATATCTGTAGTCTTTCATATTTAATGATATAAAGAATAAATAAATGGAAGTTGTTGTGGTATAAGATATGAATGGGCTATGAATAAACACATGGCTAATACAGCCTGTCAAGTTGCTAAGAAGATATTTTGGCAAGAAATGAACTCCAGACAGGAACATATGTCTCCATTCTTATTTATGCTTAGTATGTATAAAAATTAATCATATTGTGGATTAAGTCATGTAATGTGGTATTGGTTAAACTCATATCAGCAGCCACAAATATACACAAAATTGTTTTCTGGTAAAACCACTTAGGGATTTCTGTTTTACAATAGGGGTCGAGGGTGAGCCGTGCACTGGCAGAAGCTATCTTGACAGTACAGCACACCAAACACTTTGCACATCCTGCCAACTGGGCTGGATTCATGTTGGTCGGTGCTGATGTCCGGCTGTCCAACAAAGTGGCACTGATGGGACAAGCGCTGTGTGAACTCCTCAAGAACCCAGAGAAGTGCCGTGATGCGCTACGAGTTACCCTTCACTTGGTGAGTTATATGTCACAACTCAAATCTTCTCTTATCATCCCTGTACTTTCAATCTGATAAAAAGAGGGGTTCTCAGCCTTTCAATACCTGGGGCTACATTTACCCTTTCATACTGATTTAAGGGCTATGAGTTATTAAAAGTGCTTCGGGCTGATGCAGTCCACAGTTGACAACACATGTATGTCTTATAAATTAAATTATGTACACAGGTTGAGAAGTCCCTACAGAGGATACACCGTGGACAGAAGAATGCTATGTACACCACACAGAAAAGCATTGAAAATAAAGTGGGCCATGCCAGTGGTTGGAAAGATCTGCTCATGTCGGTGGGCTTCCGCTTTGAGCCTGCAGCCAATGGGATCCCCTCTTCTGTGTTTTTTCCGCAGAGTGACCCTGACGAGAGGTTGACACAGTGCAGCGCTAGCCTGCAGGCCCTGCTGGGTGAGTGTCATACTGCTTACCTTCCCTCAGCACCTACTTTATCCCCAGTCATGTGCCCACGTGCACGAGACACTTGTAAGTGCACAGAACCATGGGTACACATTCTGAAATGGGACCACGAACTTACATAACTCCATGGAGCAGAGTTGTTCTTGATTATAACAGTTTTCAAAAGAACAAGGACTATGCAAATCTATTTTCTATGATTTTATCATTAAACTCATTTCTGTGTGGTTTCCCGTAACATCCTAAACATTTTCAGTGTTTATTTGTAGTTATCTCATGGCTTTGTAGTTTGATTACCGTTGCACTGATTTCTTTGTCACACTACAACTAATACGACTTGTCGTCACCTGCAGGTTTGTCCGGAACATCGCTGTATGCCCTCTCCAAGCTGATGTCAAATGTGGAAGTGGCAGATGACATCATTGGAGTGATCCGGCAGGTGATTGGTCAGTTTAGCATGAAGAACCTAGAGACGGAAAGCATCGAAGTACCGATCAGTGTCAAGCTGTGGCGTGTTCCAGGATGCCATGAGCTGCTTGCTTCACTTGGTAAGATTACCATCTGTATGCTGAAGTACTGCACCATAATGGCATGTAGGATGTGGACACAGCTCCACACATTTATAACACCAACACTGGACGACTGCTTTAACCCTAGGCAAAGCTAGGCATCAGTGCCACTGTGAGCAATGAAGATGTCACAGAACTACTTCTCTGGCTGGCTTGAACTGCAGTTCTGTCTCTAAAAACTCGTTTAAATAAGATAACTTACACTGGAAATGGTTAATGTTTAAATCTGATTTTCTAATATGGTAGAAGGAAAATTGTATGCAGACATAAAATCCATCACTCTACTTCCTGTGAACTGTGTTCAAAATCAGAACAAGATAACTTGATTTAGTGGCTCATAAGAGAGGGTGAATTGAGCCGAGAAGGAAATGGATGTGTTTTGTGTATCAGTGTCATGATTTTGTATATTGGGTATTGCACCAGAGAGGGGGGTATTGGGCAAATGTTAATTTTTGGAGAGGAAATTGGATGTATGATGGATTACTTAAGAGAAATAGTTAAGGAAAGAAACCTTAGGGTGGAAGATAAAAAATAAAATGTTGCAGTAGTTTGGAAACATGGAAAGAATGGGAAAACATAGACTGGAAAATTAAGTGGTTCACTGGATGCAGTTTCTTCAAGAAGAATAAGTAGGGTTGTGTCAGATTAACATTGGTGCTCTCACTTCTGCAGGATTTGACCTGATGGAGGTGGGGCAAGATGAAGTGACATTGCGCACTGGGAAGCAAGCCAACCGCCGAAACATCCAGTTTGTCTTGCAGGCTCTCCTTGCTCTGTTCGGTATGAAACTATACTTCGTTCATAGTCAACATGCATTCATTGTCAAGAATAGTTGTCATGTTTATGACAACTACACTCTGATTAAACAGATTTTAATGATATATAATTTTTCCAAATTCACTTGTGTTACATACTCTGTAATGCAGACTATCGGTGCTCTGTTCTGAGCTGTTAATTTGCATCAGTGTTATTGTGCTTGCTTCTGCAGATACACAGGAGGCCCCCAACAGTCTGAGTCTGGGCTCATCCAGCTCGCTGGAGAGCCTCACGTCACTTGATGGCGACAATGATGGGTTGCGTGCCAGGTCACCCCCTCTCCTCACTTCATCCATGATGATTCCCCCACCTCCCCTTCCTTTTGTGTCCCCTAGGCCCGCTCCACCCCCTCTATTGCTTCCTGGTCACCGAGGCTCAGGTGGGGCATTCACCAGCTACGTGAGACGACGTGGGGAGCCAGATGGGCGAACTGCATGTGCGGGAGAGACGGGGGGAAGTGGTGTGGCCAGTACCAAAACATCAGGAGGGGCTGTCAACACTGCAGCACCTACTGTGGGCAAGGTATAGTATTACCAGACATTCCTACACAGTAACACAGCTCCCATGTGCAGAACAGCAGACTGACGCACATTTACTTCTGTCTTCCATTCATTATATTTACAGTTCTGTAGTCTACTGTTTGTTGTGACTTCTAGCTGCATCTTATTCACTGTTAGTATTTGTGGAGTGCACAGCCACTGTTTGGTTCATTGCACCTAATACATTCATACACGATGGCATAACATCAGTATTTGTGGACAACTGCTTGTCTATTGCAGGTTGTGGGTCGGCCAGGTGGTGGTGGGGAGAGTGATGCAGCTTTCACACCCAGTCCTCCCGTGGTTGCTCCAGACACTTCACCCTGTGTCGCCACATTGACGCTGGCCCACCAGACTCGTATTCGAACCCTGTACAGTAGTGCCGGTGACGGTTCGTCTCCATCCACCGAGAGTGGTGTTGCCGGTCAGGTTGTACCGCCTTTGCATCATGGTATGTGACCTTAAATTTCAAGAAAGAGAATGAACCATTCTTTAAATTTTTTGGAGAATGGTTGGAATGTCATGTCTATATGAAGATCCTGTATTGAAATCAATTCATATTGCAGAAATGTTGCTTTAAGTATGATGAATGTTATCGTTTGATGAGAAATTTATTTATTACTGATGAAGAGGGATGATTCAAATAGAGATGGATTCATAAATAATTTGACTTACTGAGGCCATATTTAAATTTTATGTACCTACCATTAGTTATAGTCCTGACACATTTGAGTTTCTTGTAGACATTTTGGTGACTAAAAGAATTTAATTTCTAAGAATTTTTTGTCTGCAGGCTGTAAAAACGTCAAATCACTGGCCATTTTATAGACACTCTGTTTATGTCATGTTTTGTAGGTGGTTCATCGTCATACCACCGCCGCCCAGATTCATCAAGCAGTGCAAGCTCTGTCACTGACTGGGAGGGCAGTGGTCACGCCACAGTGCTACGTCGTACTGGACACACACAGTCTCACATCAATCACCCACTTCCTCCCCTCCCACCACCCCGTCAGGCCCCAGTTCCACCGCTTCCACCTCCTATTGTTGACTCCCTACATCCTCTGCCCCCTTCTGGGCTGTATAACACAGTGACCAATCTCTCAGCTGCTGGAGGCTTTGAGTCTCAGAGTTCTGATTCTGACTTTGGTGGCAACTGCCCTCCAGTGAAATCATATAAGACCAGTCGAGGTGGCGCAGTGGCAGCATTCCACAACACTGCCACTTTGAAGTTGTCCAGTGGTGGCAGCAGTAGCAGCAGTGTTAGTGGTGGCAATACTGGAACTTCCAGTGTTCAACCATCTGTTGTGGATAGGCTGAGTGTTCGGACTGAGCTATCCAACCTTGGGGGTGCAGGCTCCAGAAAGCCTATAGCACTGAATCCTAGTGAAGAAGCGAAGGACTTGAGACTACACTACTTTCCTTCTGACAGTGGAGGAGGCAGTGACATGTCAGCACCACTATCAAAGCCATTTGATGAGGCACCGGATGTCATCCCATCCAGCAATCCCAGTGGAGGTGGTTTAGCCTCTAGCAGTGGACCCAGTAGCATACAGGATCAAATTATCGCGACACAGTTGCGCCGCCTCAACCGAGAGCTGACTCCAACCATATCTGATGTATACCATGAACGGAATATTGGGCTTGGTCTCGCTCCTCCTCTGTCCAAGCTGCTGATTCCACCCAGGGGATCACAGGGAAACTCAAAGGACATGGATACCAGTGGGAGTGAGGCTCTGCTGGACAAGTTGGGGCTCCTTCCAGATGAGATCAACAAGAGCACAGAGAGCAAGTCTTGGCTGTCATCCACGGCACTGCAGCAGTTCGGGGCAGACCTCTCTGCAGGTGAGCTGGAGGGTAAGCAGCGAGGAGGAGGTTCCCCGTGCAGTGAACTGAGCAAGCGTGACGAGGGAGACGGAAGGTCCATCGCCGACTCACAGTGCAGCGCGGGAAGTTACAATAAGCCAATGACATCCCTGCTGCAGCGTGCAAGCTCAGTCTCTGTTATGTACTTTGGACAGGATTCAAATGACAACAAGGGGCAGCAGCAGGCACCTCGTGTGGTGAGTTTTCTTGAAGATGTGGCTGCCATGAACACGGACAAACAGGATGATACGAATGCGAAACCCCCACCAAGAATTGCCAGTTCAGTACCGGTACCACCGTGTCCAAGATCCAGGGCATCCAAGCAGCCTCCACCACCCATCCCAAACAGCAGGACTGCAGGGGCCTCGGCTAGAAATTTCTTTCACAGTGCCGATCAGTAGGTTCCCGACAGCAGTGAGCAGTGAGATACAAGACGTGGCTTGTGACCAGAGCACAGGCCTCTCTTCTCCCTGATCTGAGTCCAGGTTCTGGTGGTGCACGATTGTTTTCTGAAGTCCTTCGGCCATCAGAAGTATCATGAATACGCGCTGTTCTCGTTTGAAGAGAGGACCACGCGGTTTACAGCTCTCCCATCACAGGGTACTCACTAGAAAATCATTGTGTTGTGAGGACCAGAACACCACATAATCAGCATGAGGTGCATTGAAATTGCTACTGCAGTTGATAAAATCCGTTAAGTATAAGTGTAAATATAATCTGTTGCATGATCTCTTTGTAGCAGATTGTATTTGCTGTACTCATAATTTGGCACCTAAGTGTACATGTGAGGACAATATTAAATGATTTTAGAAAAATAGGTTGTGATTTTGCTGTCCAAGGATAAGGTTCAGTTTTGGGCTTTTGTGAATGTGCTGGTGAATCATAAGGTTCCATAGCAAGAGTTAACTTGTTGGTCACCTGAATGACAGTCAACATCACAAGAAAGACCCTTTACCACTGAGTCATACTCATCCGCACTTTACTTTATTGCTCCATTGTACATCAACATTTCAAAAAGTGTGACATTTCTGTAGAAAAGGAAAATCAACCTTTTAGCAGTTATGGACTGTTAAGTGAACGTATATTTTTCCAGTCTCATCATACTCTGAATCTGCTGTATTGCTGCAATGGAGTGAAGTTCTCAGGTATTCAATGTATATGAATATATTTATTTTTTTTATGTTTGGAGTACGTTTTGGAAGGGGTTGAATGTAATTGTATGGGCTACTTTTATAATCTTTTCATGTGTAGAAGTTGTGCCTCTCCAACAGATGAGCGTGGCTTTGCTTTTGGCTTCCAGATAAGTGGATCGGAGCAATTTGTAAAGAACTGTATTCTATCTTGTATATAAGTATAATTTTATTATTATAAATATTTGCAGTTATATGTGTTCCAGACATAGTGGGCTCCATTCTACATTCAAAACAAAACATTTTTGTGACTTTGTCAGGCAGTAGTGTTGAAACACATGCCACATTGCTTCTTTAATTTCAGACTTACATTAAATTTCACTGAAAAAAAGTAATACTTGCTGTTTCTAAAGTTAGCAGCTTGTGAAACCTGAAACCAACCTTTTTCCTTTTCTAACCATGTACTGATGCTTGTTATTTTGGTTGTGGTATAATTGGAAAGTGTAATTGAAATGAGCTGTGCCATATTTTGACTGTTTACAAAGAAACTACATTCTGAGAACAATTTGTTCGGGGTGGGGAGAAATGTTTCAGGGTGAACCTAATTTCATTCCCTCAAATGATTCAAGATGAATCTGAACTATGCTAATTCCTTGTTTTATGAATGCTCAGACAGAAACTTGTGTGTTTTATTTATTTATTTTTGGTTTATTTGAGGATGTTCATACTGTAATGAATTGGAAAGGAAAAAGTCATGGACTAATTTAATAAACCATCCCAGAGTTTGCCAGGAGAGACTGATGAAAACATGAAGAACCTGACAGGATGCCTCATCTATGGGCTAAGATTTGAACCTGGAACCTCCAAGTAATGGACCCCGAAGCACTTGACTATGATGTTTGATATTTTCATCTTAATTCCTTTTCCAATATGTGTACTTTTATTCCAGCAAAAGCATGCCTGTTCTGCGTATTTGCCCGTGTGCTTTCCCGCAGCACGTTTATGCCACATGGTGTGCCAGATGCTTACAAACCCACCTTTTGGCCATATTTTTCCATGTACAAAATTATGTGGTATGATATGAAAACTGACACAATTCCTTTAACTGAGCATCCTACTGGCTACCCTTGGCCTTACTGATATGGTAGAATCTCTCTCCACTGCTGACACAGAACACCCTCAAGGCCTGATAAAACGTTGCACTGGAACAATCTGTGAAAACCTCCATCTGCCAACTCCATGTATCATTCTGATATATCCCATGTACAGCCGCTGGTGATGGATGAAACATGGGTTCATCATTTTACATAGGGTGTAAGGCAGCACTGATGGAGTAGAAACATGTTACACCCCACACAAGAAAGAAGTTCAATATCATGAAAGTCTGCAGTAAAGGTAATGTTGATGGCAATTTGGAATGCACAGAACATTCTCCTCCATTGGCTTGTGGACCACAGGGAACTGTGAAATTATACCTGCACTGCATAACACCGCGATACCTCAAGGAAGCTGTCCAGATATAACACCCTACAGAATTAATAAATACAAGTATAACTTGCCCTTTGATGTTACTTACTGAACACTATTTTACCTCAGAACGTGCGCGCCTAGCACAAACTAAACCATGAATGGGCTGCAACATGACTTAACTTGTCCGAAGACTTGGGAAGTCACTATAAACTGATGTTGACTTCTTATTAAAAAGCTTCTGAATAAATGTAATGCACAAATTTTGTTTATTTTTCTCTGATAACTGTGTGATGACAAAGAGCAGTGGGAATTAGACTAGTAGTTCCCCATGTGTTTGCTGGTTCAGGCAGTGCAGTAACTCAAACCAGAATTACAAATTGCATGAATCTCCTAGTTTTTCCTGATTACTCCCAACCCTGCTATGATTGAAAATTAAATCATAGTTCAAGTGAAATATTACTTGGTCCATGGCCAGCGCATTTTAAGTATGCTGTAGTTGAGATCCCAAACTTTGGCACACACCAAATTGAAAGTGTTTGAATTCAAGAATAAAGAATTTGCATTGAAAACTAACACTTTACAAGGTTATGTTACAGTTCACAGTAAAGCTCATTTCAGTAACTTGAAAGAGACAACCTGAATAATCACTGAATCAACTATTAGCCTCAGAATTTGGGAACTTGAAGAATGCCATGCAAAGTCATAAGTTTTTGAGTTTTCACATTTTGAAATTATAACCCATAAAACATTCATTAAAAAATCATATGAACATTTCTTTTTTTCACTAAATGGTATCTACAGTTAGATCATACCTTTTTTGAATTACCCTGTACTCTCATTTTTATTAGACACATTCACAGCTCTGCAGAGTGTCTTAAAACCACTCCAACTGTCCATACACATAAAACAATCTGAGAATGGATAAACCAATTTTGATTACATTTGATACTGGGGAACAATCTACACAAAAACATGACTCTGAAGCTTATAATAAATGTTTTATACATATTTCATTTTCCTTTAGAGTGAATAATAAGAATGAACAGTGAAGCCTTTGTAATGATTGTTTATTCATTCAGAGTATATACTTTTGATTCCTACTGTAATATTAATTTATCTGTATGTTAGCACAGATTAATTCCTTCTGCAAATGTGACTACTAAGTGTACACTTATATGGCCTTATTTTATAGCATTTCGCTTTCACCATTGGCTATGATAATGTAAAGCTCTCTCCAGTTGGCACCATCATTAGTGTGTTGTGAAAAATGTATCTGTTCTAAGAAACTGAGTAAATAAGTAATTCTGTATTCTGTGGCTAATTTTTGTTACAGTGGTAAGTATATTAAAATTTTACTGCATGCCACTTAGGGCACTGATTCCTCTGTCGGCTTATGTGGATATCGTCCCAAAACTGTTGTACGTTAAGAACTTTCTTCTGGTGTGTAATGTGGAAAGACAGATACTTTATTCTTCAAATTAAATTTTTTCAGTCTTTTTGGTCAGTGAGCCTCACACATGCATTTTTTCTCTTCCTCAGAACAACTTCAGATGTCCAGAGACCTTGTCCACAAGACTAGCTGGTCCAGGACCAATCCCTAGCACAGTCTTGGAGCCTGGAGCTATCTGAGTGCGTCCAGCATCACGTACAAGGCTAGTGATGAGACCCCGGCTGCGGGACACACTGGCAAGCTCCAGAAGTTCTTGCTCTGTCTCCACTTTGAGCACCACCTTGGCTTCTCCGCTTTCTTCCCACTGCTCCAGAATGTTTGGTTGATGAAGCAGGGCCTGTTGGTATGCTGCGACTGCTGCATGGGAGCACTAAAAACAGCAATGAAATAAGTTACTGGTAACATCCTTAACAGCCTAGTCTCCACAGACATAAAACTCATTCATTTGGGAAAATAAATCAGAGGTTCCCAGGCTTGGCTTAACCCAGTCATGTTCGATCGAGTTAGCCAGGTGGGCACAATCCACATTTTTTTCACTAAAATCCGCAATATTCAACAATTTAACAATCCACGAAACATGCTGTACCTGTGCTGCTACTTTACCCTTTCCCATTTTCAAGTCTGACCGAACAATGAGAACCAACTTGAAATTGTCTTCACCATCACAGGGGGGCTGAAACAATTTAATATACGTCATTAATATACCAAAGAAAAGGATACACGTTTCTTACAAAACAGCTGTTCCAACACAACTAACCTCACCAAACGTAGATGACCTTTCGCCAGAAAGTATTGTATTTTTTGGAAGTATTTTGGATCGGACTTTCAGGAATATCCACGCTATTGAAACACCGCAAGCTAAGCCGGATAAGAAAGTAGAATTTATAACATGAGATAGGAGACCCATATTAGCGTCTGTCTTTACATCTTGCATTTTATACAATAAACAAAAAGCACATGGCGAACGAACGACACGTCAGATGATAGACAATACCATAGATAACTGCCAGGTAGCTTTACTGAGCCAATGTGCCGATGAACTCCGCCCTTCGGTTTCCTAAACGAAAGCATGCCTTTTTCTTCGCTATGTATCTACTCTGCCGCCATGTATGAAAACAATGGAAGTGAGGTTAGTGTAGGTGGTTTGGTATGAATTTTTAAGATATTATTTGATAAGGAGGAGTTTTAAGGCTGGATAAGAATCCGTATGAAAGTGAGTATACCGAGTTGCACTGTGGAGGTTAAAACAGCCGATAGGAATGTAATCTTTTAAATCATTGAAATGTGTAAAATTCAATTTATTCTTCTACACCAAGTTTCATGCGTCCACTGTTTCGATAGCTTAAAATACATTTTGCCACGCAAATGTTTGAGCCCATTTCTACATAATTTATAATATCCGATACTCTAATTTCTATTTTCCTAGATGGATTCAAGAGCACAAGTAAAGCCAAAGCTTTTATGCAAGGACCTTGCTCCCCAAGTTGTACCAGACTGTACTCCAGAAGTTGAAGTGGGCGAGTACTTCTTGTTGAAATCTGAAGAACGCCTGTCGAAGTATCTATACCTTTGTTACTAAAAGTATAAGTCATACGATATTCTTCTTGACCATTCAGTGTACCATTTTAATGTTATACTTGGCAAGCAATATGCTGATCTTAGCGGAGGATGACTGTCTGTATGGTATTATGACCATTTCAGGTGGTTTGCTTCTTTATGTCTGGTTTTTTATGAATAGCATGGTGTATCTACATTGTTTTACCATCTAAACTGTCTGAGTCAGACGGATATTTTCTCTTTGATTTCAATAAAGCAACATTTTTAAATGGGTCTTTATTTTAGAAAGAAGCCAGAATGGGATTGGCCTCCATTGTCCCCAGCTACAGAGTTGGTGGCTGCCTACAGGGACCTGGAAGTAGCTAACAGGAACCTTAACGAAAAGTGGGCCAAGGGAAAGGAGAAGCAGGAGCAGATGGACAAGGAGTGGGATGAGCTACGAGAGAACGAAAAGCACCTCAGAGAGTCCTTCACTCGCTTTAATAAGTTTTTGCAGGTGTGCTGTTACAGTTGCTTCTTTTTCTAGTCATGTGGCCACTAAAACGTTTTTCATCAACTCTTCCCTCAACTACATTGTTCATTCCTATTGGATAGCACCCTACTCCTCTCTTCGTCCAATTACACATTTATTTCCTGCTTGCTGCTTACTGCCTGATCTATGTAAAGACTTCTGAACCCTACGAAGACATTAACGAAGAAGATGCAAACTGCAGAAGACCCTATGCAGCTTATTCCAGAGAGGTGACATGCGTGTATGTATATATATGTATGTATGTATGTATATATATATTAAATTTATTGCCAAGTATTTAAATGTAGTTTAAATCTCTGGGCCAAGCAGCCAATCCTAAACTCTTGATAAAAATACATTTTTGTTGAAAGAACTTCAAAAATGTATGTGCACTATTTTTACTCCTCACAATATACTATTGTTCTGTTTGAAACTTGTGAACCAATCTACTTTACAGATTGCTGAGGTTTAGGAGACATAGCTATCATTTCATATTCATGGTTTTGCTAATTCATGGTTAAGTTCCAAGCGATACGTTATCACAAAGTTTCTTTGAAGAGTTGCCCTTGTGCATTTTGACAAGCTTGGATCCCTTGTCAGTACTGGACACATCATATTCTTCTTGCCAGTGTCAGTACATCTCAGAATAAATATGAGGGTGTTGGCAGTGTGAGTGGAAGTATAAAAGCTGTGAAGCAAAAGAGATTCATTAAACGGATTCTTGCACCATTTGTTTATCAGGGTCCATATCAGGAAAATATGTGCCGTGAAGATGGAGGCATGCCTGTATTTAGAGCAATGTTCCCAGTCTCGTTGTAGATTTAAAATCTGTTTCTTTATGAGATTCTTGGCTTCATTTAAACAAATTTCTTGATTTTCAGGTTAACAGAGAGAAGCGAGAAAGAGCAGAAAGTAAGATTCAGGAGGAGAAGGCAGTGCAGAAACAGCGAAAGAAGGAGACTGTTCAACTGCAGGAGAAGTTAGAAGGTTTCATACAGATAAAGAAAACCCTGGAAGAACATGTGAATAAGCACAAGATATATGAGGTAAGGAAGGGGAAGCAGTGAGTAGGTGTGATATCTCGCTTGTTTCAAGGGCTGCCAACTTACAGTTCTGATGAAAGTTCTTGGTGCTTTCTTCAGTCTGTCAAGTCAAATTATGGGATGGTATTAACGTTGGCTGTTTCCACCCCTACCCTTTCAAATTGATGTCATAATTCTGTAGGATATAATAAATGCTTGCCTCTCTCTCTGTTAGCAACTTTTAAACCAATTGACAAATTTTAAAAACATTTAGCATGAGCATAACGCAACATCTCCTTAGTGCTGTTCAATTTCCTGCTAGTAGCAATACCAACATGGTGGCCTTACCAAGTTTTAGAGTTGGGATGACATTAGCGCCACTTAATGTAGGGTCTTTGAATTTGAAAAATATGCAACTTTTGTTGAGGTTATTTTTTAAAATGTCAAACAACAATACAGTTGTCACATGACATCTTTATATAATTTCCCATTTGGTGGCAATAACTAATGAAGCATTGGATGTAGGCCCATTCTGTGGCTGTATATCAGAGGAACCTGCTGCCTCCAATTTAGGATACTTCAACCCCAAAGTTGGAGGCAGCATGTTTAAAGCAACTCTTACCATTATAGACTAATGATTTTCGTACCAGTCATGAACACAGTGTACTGTCCAAAGTACATAATTCTCACACTATTTAGCAGTGTAGACAACCTTAATTAAGTAATAATTATGTGAATTTTGCCACACTTTTTTCAGAGCTAAGATCATAATGTATTCATGCACTAATGTGCACAGAGCTTGTATTGTACTCAACAGGACTTCCTGGACAATGTAGTGGGAAATACGGTTTTTCGCTATGAGACTCTGAGTGCTTCGCTCATGGAACTTACTGATCAGCAATGGAGCAACCTTGCCACCCTGGAGAATGCTTACAATCATACAGTCAGGCTAACAGAGGTAACATAACAACTATGCACTGAGTGTGCAGCACGCTTCGTCCAGTGAATAACATATGATGCCCTGGTGGACCAGAGGCGCTGGATTCATGTGATAAAAGTGTGAATCCTTCTGTGTGGCTTCTAATGCACGAGTTAGCACGGTGACAGCACATCTGACTTGTGTTTATGGGGTGCTTGAATCTAATCTAATCTTTGGGTTCATCTCACAGTTCATAATCATAATCATCTTATCTCATCTGAAACTGTATAGTTTATAGTAACATAAATATGGAATCATTAAATGATCCATGATCCTGCATGCCTTCCACATGCCTTAACTTCTGAGAAAAGAAATCTGATATTTGATTGTGATTAAAGAGAAATAAGTTGTAGGATCTTATAATATCAATTTTGCAATTGCTAGGAGTGATACTGATGTCATTTATTGAAGGAGAAGTCACAACTCATGTTGGGGCTGAGCAACAGAATATCAGATTTGCAGAGCCATTATGACCAGGCTAAGGCTGAGACCTTCCGCTGGGAAACAGCACTGAGTCACATCGAGGACATAAATGCAGAAAAACACATAGAAATCAACGAGGTGAGGCTTTGTCCATAGTGAACAGGTTAGGGGTTTCATAATGGAAACGTGAAAAAGCTAATGTAAAGACTTTGTCACCATGACATGGCACTATAAATATTTGATAAAATTTTGGGGGGAAATATGTTAAAACCTGTCAAGAGGCTAACTCTCCGTGCCAAATTATGTTGACATTCATCTGGTAATTACTAAGAAAAACCACAAAAGTGTTGTTGAGTATAGTTGACATGGTGGCTGAGGTATGAAGTAGTCATATAATGGAAGAAGTAATTTGAATTTCTGTATTTGCTAAAGTGATTGGTTGCTTGTTTTCACTTTTTGTTTGCACATGTTGAAGGTGCGGACATCATGCTGGAACATGTACCGAGATATCTGCCGGCGCAAGAATATGCCAGTCAAGACAGCGGAGCGAGACGTAGAGCAGCAACTGATACACATCAAGCACACCATTCAAGCGCTGAAGAAGATTGTGCATATCGTGCGCCAACGAGCCATTTTGGACACAGCCTCCAATATATAGCAACCCGCTCCACTAGTCACAAATGAAAATGATTGTGGATGGGATCTGTCATTATCCATGTAATGCAATGATAAAAATTAATTTTTTTATAGAAATCATTTGTCTTTCTTAATGTCCCATTTGTTTGTATTCTGTGTTCTTAAATATGTACTCGTGCACTAGGCCAATATTCATACTTGTCATTATTTCAGCATTGGTTTTCACCTCTGAATCTCTAATAATGTAGAAGTTACAAATAAAATAGCAAATATGAGATGTATTTCAAATTTAAATGCAAGATTTTGACACAAGCTGTTCCTTCACAACAATATTTCAGAATGAGAAAACAGTGTTTATATAATTATGATCACAAATAACTAATATGGATTTCATGATGCTGGATGTATGTGTTGGTTAAAATAAAAATTTCTGATTCCCCGTTGTCGTCAACCAATTTGTCGTCAAAAAATGACGTCATCAAACAATGTTACGTTATATTTGTTTACTCGGTATTGTTGTACCAACACAGCAATGCCGAGTAAACAAATGACTTGAGTAAGACACTAAACTAACCCCCCCCCCCCAAGGGGGGGTTAGTTTTGTGTCTTACTTAAGATTTTAAAAAATTAAAAAAAAAA